CACTTTTTCCCCCTCGCGATTGAATTTGTCTTTGAAAGAGAGAAAATGGGGGGGAATGGCTTCTGCCGACGCCGTGCGTCATGCCTGCGTCATGCGATGCGAAGCAGTCGTTATGTAACATACGGACGGAATCCGTCTGCAGATCGATCTCTTTTCGAGCGATTTTCGCTTCTTTTCGGTTTCCTTTCGTCGTTCGTGAGGAAAATGACTCGACTCGACTCGATCCGAGGCATTCCCCGCCGCCACCCCCCAAAAGTTTTCTCTCGGCGATGGTTTTCCCATAGGAATGCGAACGTTTTCCTTTAGGAATCCGATAGCATTCCGATGGGAATCATCCTTAGAGGTTTTCCCACCGTCCAAGCTTGCACGCACGCGACTCGGGTGCTCGGTCGGAGGCCGAAGGATTTCAACTTTTTCAACGGCTGCAGTTTTTTCTCTCCTCGCGTCTCGGTCGCGCGATTCGCACGAGTCGCGTACTTTCGGCGACTCGATCGGTCGAGTTCCTTCCATCAAACCTCATTTCGCCGTAAACTTCGTTTAGCTCGTGCGAAATACCGTCGAACCCGACGCCAACCGGTGCGTGACGAACGGTTTATTCCATCCGGCAAGGAATTCATGTCCGACGCACGAGAAAACGTGGCAAATAAAGAATCGCATCGCAAAGGAGTTGGAATCATTAAATAAGTCATATTCGGTTCATTCGGACAGTTCAATTTATGCCACGATACCACCTCCAAAATTTTCCTCGCGGACTACGTATCGCTGCACGATCTTTCGTTTCGTTAAGCGTCCAGCACGCCTAAATTGATGCATTCGCCGTCAGAAAATGAGCGAATCCCTATTTTCCAGGAGTTCTCTAACGGATCCAGGCCAGAACGCCGTGATTTTTTGGCGTCGTCCTTCGCAAACGTCGACGGCAACTCGTTCTCGCTTCGGAATTTCCAGTAAAATCGAGAGGAAGCATTTTGTACGCCTCGCATTCCGACGACACGCGAACGGCATCTTTTCCCTTCCGAGCGACGAAAAGGCACATCGGAGGGAAATCCCACTGGAAACACGGAATAAAAGTATCCGGCCGGAACGAAGGTGGACGTTTTTCTGCGCCCCTCGACCGCAAAAAAATTCATCCACTCTGCCGTGCCGACAGTTTCATTTTCTTTTCTTTTCTTCATGTCCTTTCAAATGTTTCCTTTGCGATATCGGTTCAATAATTCATACCGGCTCCGAAATCGAACATCTCCGAGTCGTATTTTTGCCGTAATCACGAGCGGTGCCCGATCTGAGTCGGTCCGGGTCGGTCCGGGCCGCATCTCGAACGCGAACGACAAGGGGATCCCGTTCGATCTCGGACCGTATTTTTCTTTCGGTGTCCGTTCGCGTCTCTGCCTCTGCGAAAAATTCCATCCCGTCTCGAATGCCGATCCCGAAATCTTAACTTTCGCCGGTCTCGTACTCTGGCGACGAGAGTCTCGGACGCGACCGACTCGATCGACACGACCCGGATCGGTGGGAGTCGGCAGGATGCCTCCAGGGATGCCTCTCGACCGCCACGTGCATGCGGACTCCGCGTGCCGTTAGGTCTCGACGTTCCGATTTCCTCGATAGAAGCAAGGAGTCCGACGGCTTCGTCGCACGACTCGCCCGCTCGCCCACGAGTTCTGCGGCGATCGCGTCGGTTCCATCGAGCGGTGCTTTCCTTTTCCGCGCATCGTTTCGCGTCGCGAAACATCGAACCGCGTGGGACGGAACACGGCAGAAACGCTCGGTTCCATCGGTGCAGTCACGAGAGAAGCCCAAAGAAGGAGGCTTCCTTCGGAATCCGGTGGATAGATGGCAGGAGCGTCGACTCCCGAGATCCGAGCCCCATCCGATCCGAGGCCCCGGAGCGACTCCGATGCGTGCCGCGATCCTCGTCGACTTCGAGCGCTCGCCGACGCGAGAGCGAAGGAATCGATCGCGGATCGAACGAAAACGAATCGGAAACGACGAACGCGGGAACGGATTTCGATCGCGAACGGATTTCGATCGCGAACGGATTTCGATCGCGAACGGATTTCGATCGCGAACGGATTTCGATCGCGAACGGATTTCGATCGCGAACGGATTCCGGGGTTTCTCTTTCGTCCCTCGACGGACGGTCGCCCTCCGCCTCGTCGCTACGATCTCCGTGGAGCGAATGCGGGCGGATCGAGCGACTTCTCCGGCGATCCGGGGCGAGGTCGAAAATCCGCCCTTTCTACTCGGGGGTTCGAGACCGAACGAATGACGGGGGATCAGCAGGTAAACCGCGAGCATCTGGACCGGTGGAGTCCATCGCGCGCTGATGACGGTCGTGGGAACGTCTGCGAGACGCACACGAAAGGGGGGGGAGAGGGAGGGAGGGGAGGGGGGGGGGAGGGGAACACGGAACCGGACGATGAGTGCAGTCTCTCGTTTTCTCACCTCGCGGTTTCCTGTTCTCCTCGTCCGCATCCCATCACGACGGCACGAACCTCGACGCGATATTGCACGTCGCGAGAGCGGCTCCGTTTTGCTATTTTAAGTTTTGCTATCTTAAGATCCACCTCGTCGCACGTTCCGTGAATCACCGGCCTCGAGGCCGACTCGCTCGTTCGTCATTCGCGACCGCGAGTATCGATCCCGTTCGCACGGACGAAAGTGGCGCCGTGAGAGAGGTTCCGGGCGGAGAGAGAGAAAGAGAGAGGGAGGGAGAGGAAAGGGAAATCGAAGCGGTCGGAACTGAATAATTGATTCGGATGCATCGATCAAACGACGTCATCGTCGTGTTTCCTCGGTCCGGAACGGAAGGAAACGGCAGAAAAAAAGGTGAGAACTCCATCGGGGGATCCGGGGCCGGCCACGAAGCCCCGAAAGCTCCGAAGCCACGAAAGTCCTCTCACCTGTCCAAAATTTCCTTGTAGTCGAGAAGCCTCCTGATGAACCTGGCCGCGTGGTCCACCGTGTCTCGGGGGCCGTCTCGGGGGCCGTCTCCGGGTCGTCGGGGGAAGACCATGCCGGGATTGGAGTTCACCGGGAGCGGAACGGGATTCCGGAGGTACATCTCCTCCAGCCACCATCGAAGAGCCTAAAGGATCCACGGAGACGAACGCGAACGGTGGATTCGGCGAACCGTCTTTCGCCTCCCGACTCCGAGAAGGGCCGCGATCCGCCCGAGTGGAGTCCTTGGGCGTCCTTGGGACTCCGCGACTCCGGAGGAAACAAATATTCCCGCGGCG